TGCTATATAATTAAAACTGACCTGAACTAAAGTCACTTGAATAGCTGACTGTTCTCTACAAGTAACCTTCTCCGTGATTGAGGAAACACTAATTTCTGCTGTCTTTAAAATCCTGCATCGCTGCTTCAGCTATCAGTGCTCATTTCAAAAGGAATGCAGTAGTTTTTTAAAGTTTTTAATACTAAATTGATCCACGTGTGTGTGTGTGTGTGTGTTCATAAATTCAGTTTACTACTTGATATATACATATACACACATATCTATGTCTCAATCCTTCAAGCTCAGGTCCTCTACCTGGGAGCTTGAGGGTACTGAGCAGTACCTTAGGTGCTTTTATATAAATCACCACAAACTGCAAGATCTGAGGCCCCATTTATTAGAAATATTGTTATATTCAATTACAATTTTTGCATAATGTTAATTTACAGACTGTGCACAACAGTGTCTTGATTTCAGTGTTATGAAATTCCACAAGTTTGCCCCTGTACACACATGGGGAGTATCTTCACCCCACCATTGACCTCTTCCTTCCCCTCAACCGAACCTCGTCAAGCTTTTTAATGACAGCTGATGACTTCTTGGATGACGCTGTGTAGCTTTTCAGCAGCTTCTCAAACAGTTCCTCTGTGTTGGGGTGGGTACTGAGGAAGGCTTTCTCCAGCACATACAAGTCCACACCCTTATCCTCGGGCAGAGCGGAGATGTAACTCAGACCAAAATCTATGAGGACCAGGTCGGATTCTCCTCCCTCTGGGCTGGGTCTCAGCAGCATGTTGGAGGTGGTCAGGTCTCCGTGGATGACATCTTCATCGTGCATTTTAGCCAGGACCTGCCCCACGCGCTCGACCAGCCTCTGCAACTTCATCTCCTTGCAGGAGTCAGACTGTTGAGCAGATGCAATATAGTCACGCACAGTTGAGGAGCCCACAATGTCCTCCAGGAAGATACAGTGGCAGGTATAGTCCACAAAGTAGACTACAGGGGCAGATATTCCTGTGAAGAAGAAAAAGTCTGATTTTACAAACTTTGTGTGACTACAATACCATTCAATTATCGATTAAGGTTTGTGTGTGGCTAAAAGATGTTTCAGTGTGGGCGGAGCAGATTTTAGAGAAAATGTTCAGATCCATGTTGAATAAGGGGCAAAGATAACACAGAAGTTGAGAATGCACAACAAAACATAAGAGATAAAATGTGAGACGGGTTGAATTTGTAATTTTTCATGCAGAAGCTGTGACTAAACATCTGTGGAAGCATTTGCTCATCTATTGTGCCCCCTTGTGGAGAAGAAGGGGTTTGTAGACAACATACCAACTATGAGTTATGTAGAGATCACTTTCTTGCATTTGAATGAAACGAGCAAAGGAATAAACACATTCCACTTTGTTGTTAATCTACTAATGGCTGCTTAATTATTTAGGCTATGTCCACACGTACACGGGTATTTTTGAAAAC